AAATTTACACTTTAGAAGTGTGGAATAGATTGTCGAAATGCCGCTGGAACATTGCCGAAGCATCGCCAAAAATCACACAGAGAGAGGGAGAGGCTTTGGACCCCCAACAACCGAAAGTGCAAAATAAACGAATAAATTGGAACCATAGCGACCACAGTGCAACCTAATAAATACCACAGTTCCAACGACTGCCCCAATTCATTTGAAAATGACATCGTTCAAAATCACAACCCAACCCAAGACCACCCCAATCCATTTGAAAATCACAACATATGAAAATGACAAGAAAAATCACAACCCAATCCAAGACCACCAATTCATTTGAAAATCACAACATCTAAAAATGACAATATCCAGGAGTGTAAATTTGGCCCAGCCCGGCCTATGTCGGGCCTCGCGGGCTCCCGCCAAAATTTCAATCAGGCCGGGCCGGTCCACGAGTCGGAAAATTAGGCCCAGACCCAGGAGATATTCAGGCCTTGGGCGGCCCAGTGGGCCTAGGATTGGGCTTGGGCTTGGACTTGGACGGGTCTGAACATTTTATTTTTATTTTTTCTATCAAAATTTTATTATTTTTCACTAAAAAAGACACTGGGCCTCATGCGGGACAAGCCTCAGGCCAGGCCTTGAGTGGGCCTTAACTAGGCCGATGGGCCGGGCTTCAAAATGATGGCTGATGCCAAAACCCAAGGGTTCGGGCTGGGCTCGGGCCCGAGCCCAAACGGGCCAAAATGGGCCAAACCCACCCCAAACAGCAGGCGGGCTTCGGACCGCCCACAGGCCGCGGGCCATTTTTACACTCCCACCCTAATCCATTTGAAAAGCAAAACCACAACCCAACTAATCCTGAAAATGACAAGCAAAAATCCATTTTCAATAACTTATGACACTATTTTTCCGAGGTCCTTAGTTTTCATTTTTTTTTAATTTTAATTTTTTTTTTATTATTTTTAATGATTAGATTTGGATTTTATAATGGGGATATTACATATTAGCGTAATGTCAGAAAAATAATTATAAATTAATGAAAAATTTTATCAATATTATTAATTAAAATTATAAATTTTTAAATGATTCTTAAAATTTTTTTTTTCTTTTTCTTGGCACTACCATGTAGTGTAATTTTCCCTTTTATAATTTCATGAATATAATTTATAACAACAATGATATATCTCTTAATTTATCACTCCTAGATGACTCCTAATAATGTGACATTGAGATTAGACCTTACATGATGGAATGTTTGACAAATTAAAATTTGACACTTGTCAGACACATCATTAAGAGTGATAAATTACACTACAACAAAAAATAATTTTCGCAACACAACAAAATTCGTCGCTAAAAGGCAAAAATCGTCGGCAAAGAGCTTTGCTAACCCGTAGAGCTTCGTCGATAACCAGTCACTGAAAGTGTGTCGAGAAAAGTTTTTACCGACGAAAAATTCATTGCATCGCCATAAGTATGTCTTTAGCGACAAACATCTTTGTGGGCAAAAGCCTTCAACCATTGTCACCAATTTACCATTGCGTTAGCAAAAGTGGTTCAAATAAGATGATTATGAGTCACTTTTGCCAACTCAAATTTGCATCAGTAAAAATGATACTTTTGGCGACAACTTGATTGCGTCGGCAAAACATCTAATTGTTTTATAAAAAATAAAAAATAAAAATTTGGTATTTGGGATAGAAAAAATTACCATCATAAATAATAAATTACTTTCTAATAAAAAAATTATTAAATAATATCTACACTTTAATTCATTGACATCCAAATATATATATAAAAAATAAATAAATTGTTATTATGATAACAACAATAGCCCATGTGTTCTTACAATCCAAAATTTAAGTTAACAATACCTAAAGTTAAACCAAGTACAAAATAAATAAAATAAAATAAAATCAAACCCAATTGCAACGATGTGTTTAATGCAACTATAGCATCACCATTGACAATATGCAAATGCATGTGAACAAACCTCTTCTCATTTCCAGTTAGCACTTGAGCACGATCATAATCTCCATCTTCAACAACCTACATTCAAGAAAGAAAAAGAATTTTTTTTATTATTAATAGTCATAAATGAAAATTTAAACTTGCAAATTTAGAGAATTGAGATTTAAGGGAAATGCATGAAGAAATCTCAACAGAATTGAGTTAAAGAAATGACAGAAAAGAAAAATATCCCAAGCAACAACAGTAACATAGGGAGAAAAAGAATTTCAAATAATTTCTTAGCATAACAAGAGAAAAATAGACAATAAATTAGCTGTACCTGGCATAATAGTTCACTACCAAACATTGCTAAATCAATCTACAAAATAAATTTCAATTATTTGATAAGTAAAAATAAGATAATTCAAATCAAATAACATAAAAAGAAACCAGTTTGTGACATCTGAGCTGAATTCATAGTCATGATCAAATACTAGGAGTTAGAACCAAAAAAAAAAAAAAAAAAACCTAATAACCCAAATTTTGGCATGATACGAACCAGGAGAATTCTGGCTAAAGAAAGAGCAGCAATTCCGACAATCCATCACTTGAACCGGTATTGAGAAGGACTATGATAGTCATACTCTTGCCAAATAGCGACTGCCACATACCTCCTTCATTTTCGGGGACGTAAACATTCTCCATTTGTATGGACCCAGACATGTAACACATGGAACCTAAAGGCTAATCAAATTCCACACACATTGTAGTGGAAAGAATAAACAAAAAATGGTTTAGAATGTAGAAAAAGAGGATACAATCAAATCAGTATCAGGTTGCTTTAAAATAGCAGACATAATTTATTCCACTACCAGCAACCTTTGGTAAAAATTTATTGATCCTTCGAAAGCTCCCCAAGTCTCAACCTATAGACTAACTAGTATATCATTCCTAACTCAGCCAATTCCTACTTACCAAATTTAGCATAGACTATTGATCACCAACTCAATCAATGACCTTCCCATCCAACGTAAAAAAACTACCACATGCTCCAAGTCTCACACCCTAAGACCTAAGGCTATAATCCGATATCAACTTAATTTTTTGAATAAACAATCTACTTGGTAAACCCTACAAGATGAACTATTCAGATTATCAAAATGAGACTGAGGTGGGCTCACAACCCCCTCAACTGGCTCTTTTTATCCTTTCAGCCATTTGTCTCCAGAAAAATATGTCATCAGGTAGTGCCAAAAAAGCCAAAAGATATGAGAAAATAATTTAGCTCAAGGGACAATAGTGTAATTTACTGTTTTTAAAAAAATTCCAATGGGGGACTAAACAGGGCGTACATTTTTTTTTTCTTCTTTTTGTTCAGCAATAGAATAGTCTAGCACTAAAGTAAATAGATGAACCAAACAAAGCATATACCTGTAGCTATGTATGGCAGTGTGAAGACAAATGCTCAGTTGTCTCCTACTCTCAAATACGTATATGTCTGCATATTTGTAAGAACAACAAAGAAAGGCTTAACATATGAGTCTAATCCTTTTAAATCAGCTAGTTCTAGCTTTGTTTCTTTAGTTGTGCTTGCTGATATTGATGCCACTGTTTTGCAGTCACCGATCTACGGAAGGGGACCTCCTCCTGGTGGCATGCCAATGATGCCGATGCTTTTGCTAGATGGAAGGATTGGATATGTCTTGTAAGTTAATTCGTTTGATTCTGCTTCTCCATCATTATTATCATCTTCGTAGTCATCGTCATCGTCATCATCATTATTATGGATCATCCTGTCTTTTTAAGAATTAAACTTGTCTGTCTGTTACTGTAGTCAACAGCAAGTTCGTGCCTGCTATCTCTTATAAAAGTTTATCACAATCTAGGATGTTGCCATCTTCAAACACATTACCCAATTCCTTTACTTTTTAGTCTTCAAATCCTGCATCTCCTATGCCTTCAGTTCATGGTATTGGATCTCCTGCTCAGTCAGCTACTGAACCATCATCTGGTGCAACTTTATCACCGATGAAATCATCTAATGTCACTTGTATAGGACAACAGTCCACAACCAGGACCAATTTATTAATAAGAGATAATGCTATAAGTAGTCTACGTCAGTTATGCTGTAAGATTATTTTAACTGGCCTTCAATCCAATTTGAAGCCTGTAACTCATGCTGACATTTTTCACCATGTGCTGAATTGGCTGGTTAATTGGGACCAAAGACAACAGGGGAGCGATGAATTTGATGGTGCAAAATGCTGGAAACCTGATAAAGCCCTAATTGAATGGTTACACATTTGTTTAGATGTGATCTGGCTGTTGGTTGAGGATGATAAATGCTGTGTGCCTTTTTATGAGCTATTGCAAAGGGGCTTGCAGTTTATAGAAAACATACCAGATGATGAAGCATTGTTTAGACTTATTTTGGAGATCCATAGGCAGTGAGTTATGATGGCTATGCACAGTGTTCTTAAAAGCTCAAGGCGCACTAAGGCGCTAAAGGTCTCTCGAGGCCTAGGCGCAAGGCGCAAGGCGAGGCGCGGGCTTTATTGAAGTAAGGCGCACAGTCTTAGTAAAAAATAGAAAAATTAACATAGACTAATCATTCATAGTACTAAGACAATTTTTTAAAAAATAAAAAGTAATCAAGATTCAAGACAAAATATAGAATAATTCTCAAAGCCATGAAAGTGCATATTACATAACATTTCAAACATCCAAAAACATAAACATAAACACTAAACATCCAAAACATAAATATCCAACAAATACTAATATGTCTTAACACTTAAAAACATCAACATCAAAAGAAAGGGTAGGTTAGGTCGGTCAGTCAATCATCATCCTCAACATCAATGGCAAGCAAACTATCATCTTCTTCTCCATCAGTTGATTTGTATCCATCAACATCTTCCTTCTCTGTGTCATCTGAGCCCGCTTCCTCTTCATCTATTAATTGAAGTAGAGTTAATCTTCATGATTTAGATATCCTCGGTTGTGCCTTTGAGCATGAACTTGTTGCTCTACTTGCATGACTACTTTCTTTTGCTCCAGAAGCTCTAGCAACAGTGGCCCACGTCAAGCCATTATCATCATCAAACACAGGCTCATTATCTTCATCTGATTCTCCATCCATCCTCCCAAGCAACCACTCATTGCTTTCATCAATATTTTGCTAAGATATGGGATCAAGAGTGTTGCGCATGTCATACCTAAATCTCAATGTTCTATAATATTTGACAAACACTAAATCTTTGAGACGTTGTTGCTCCAATCTATTTCTTTTCTTGCTATGAAGCTGCAAGTATTAAAAAGATATTAAATTCTATATAATGAGAATAAAAAATATTTGAATTGAACACAAAATTAGTTAGAATGTTAAATACTCACATGTTCAAATACACTCCAATTTCGTTCACAACCCGATGAACTACACGTTAGGCTAAGGACTTTTATGGCAAAAGTTTGCAAGTTTGGAGTTTTAGAACCATATGATGCCCACCAATCAGCTGCGATAATCCACTAGTTGGAAATAATTGTTACCAAGTATTGAATTTTACTAAAAGCATTACTAAAAATAAACTCTGAGTCTATAATATATTACCTGGTGCCCTTGTATTTCTTTGCCTAATCGCAACAGACTTGCCAAAAAGACTCTCAGCCTTCATATAAATACTCATCTCATTAGTGATCAAATCTTGAACAGTGACACTGGGACCAACCTTTGCATGCATTCATAAAACCCATTCATCACTTCATGATCTTTTTGCACCTCAAGCACTTTTGGGTAAAAGAATTCTGGGTTAAGAAAATGTGCACCTGCATGTAAAGGCTGATGCAATTGGACATCCCATATTTTGTCGATGATTTCAAAGATTTCATTATACTTCTCTTCTTTATGATCAAATGAACTTGCAATGCATTCTTTTGCCCTATCCATTGCCTCATAAATGTATCCCATGGGAGGTTTCATCTCGGTATCAACAAATCTAAGCACTTTGACGAGAGGACCCGAGACCTTAAGGGCAAACACAACAATATTCCAAAATGAAGGCATCAACAAAGTTTGTGCCATTCTTTTACCTTGTGGCTCCTTTGCCCATTTGCTTGAGGTCCAGTCTTCGGAGGTGACCATCTTTCTCAAATTATTTTTTTGTTGATGCATCCTAGACAAAGTCAGAAAGGCGGTTGCAAATCTAGTTTTTGCAGGCTTGATCAAATTCTTCAGATGTGTATAACGCCTCATCATGTTCAGCAACGTAGGCCGGTTGTAAATGTAGCCATGTACCGCAATACCCCTTTTAAATGTCTTTTTTAGTCTAGGTATCTTGAAAATGTCTTCTAACATCAAGTCCAAGCAATGAGCAGCACATGGCGTCCAATACAAGTGTTCATACTTGGCTTCCAAAAACCTCCTTATAATGTAACAATTACGAAAAATTATTATTTTTAAGTTTTTAAATTTTAATACAAAACAAACTACGAGTAAACAATTTTGACGTAAGGAATGAGGAAATATTTTTACCTGCCAACACATTAGCTGCAGCACTATCAGTGATAACTTGCACCACATTCTCTTTTCCAACTTTCTCCACAAACTTGTCTAGTAATTCAAATAACTTCTGCCCATCCTTTGAATAGCTAGAAGCATCAACCGACTCAACAAACATGGTTCCTCTTGGACAATTTGCTAAAAAGTTAATCAATGTCCTTCATCTCTTGTCAGTCCAACCATCAGCCATCAGCCATTATGGAACACCCGTATTTTGCACAATCTTCTTTATGATTCTTCATCAAATATTTAGTATGTTTCACCTCTTTTTTGAGTTGGGTAACTCGCACTTCATGGTAAGTTGGTGGCTTCATACCGGGACCATATTGCCCAATGGCTTCAATCATTGGTCGAAAACTCTTATAATTTACAGCATTAAAAGGGATACCAGCATCATACATCCACCTTGCAAATCTTTGCATTGCCCGAGCTCTCATTTCTTTTTTGTAAGGGTCATTCGCATCAATTTTGGTTTGCTTCCCTTTTGCTTGGTCTTTTTGATTTTTCTCCACTGATTTAGGATTGGGTGTGAAGTAAACATCCATAGGCCCTTTTCTCTTTGGCATTTTTAAATTGGTTTTGGATTTGGATGAACCTTGGCTGCTACTTGTCAACTTGCGGCGTTGATTGACATTGATCTCAACAACATCATCATCTTCATCTTCATCTTCCATGTCCATGTCATCAAAATCAGGCAACATGTTCATTTCTTCTTTTTGTATTTCTTTTTTGACATGAACTCTCTAATCTCTTCTCTTACATGAGCTGGACATTTCGGGCAAGCAGTGAGATTCCTATAACCTCCCGCGAGGTGTTGTTTCACCCGATAAACACCTCCATTTGATACTTTACCACAAAAATTACACTCAAACTTGTTTAAATTATTCTGCTCTACCAAATGGGATGTTGCCATGCCAGATCTTTTCTATTACTTTTCGATGATGTCATTTTCTACACAATAAATTTAATAAATGGAAAATAATTTCAGTGTAATGTAAGTGTGATTAATTGTGTAATGTAATGGAAAATAATGTGTAATGGAAAATTACACATTAGCACAGACAGTGTATTAATTAATGAAAAATTAATTAATACAATGTAATGGAAAATTACACTCAGTGAGTGTAATGTAATGTAATGGAAAATAATGTAATGTAATGTGTCAATTTAAAAAATAATTAATGTAATGTGTCAATTAAATTTAGAAAATAATGTAATGTAAACAGAGACCAAATGCATAATGTAATGTGTAATGTGTAATGTGTTTATTTATTTTTAGAATGTAATGTGTTTAATTAATGGAAAATTATTTTTTTAATGTAATGTAATGTGTTTATTAAATTTAGAAAATAATGTAATGTGTCTATTTATTTTTTTAAAAAAATTATTCTAGTTAATGTAATCTGTTTTTTTTTTTGTTTAAATTATTCTATTTATTTATTTATTATTATTTTTTTTAACAGAGACTCAAAGCATAAAAACAAAAAAACAAAACAGAGCAGAGCAGAATCAGTGAAAGAGAGAGATGATCGAAGTCGAAGAAGTCAAAAGAGAGAAGAAGAAAAAAAGACGCAGACCTGGAAGTCGAGAGAGGAAGACGACACGCACCTGGAAGTCGAGAGAAGAAGACGAAGTCATAGCCCAGCCAGTCCAAGTCGAAGTCAAGAGAGAAAGTCGAAGTCGAGAGAGAAAGTCGAAGTCGAATCAAAGTCGACACAGATTAGGTTAGGGATTTCGTTTTAGTCCTATTTCATTTCAGTCGAAGTCGTATTGTATATAAGTTGTAATCCTCTGTGTTAGAGCCATTCGAACACACACCACCACAGTCGTTAGATCAAAATTAGGGCGTAAATCATCAATCGTGCCTAGGCGTGAGCCTTGCGCCTCTCTCACCTGCTTCCAGTCGCGCCTAAGGCGCGCGACTTCTTCAACTCGCCTCGCCTGGCACCAGTTCAGGCGCACAGGCTGCGACTCGATGCACCTTGCACCTAGGCGCGCCTTTCACAACACTAGCTATGCACATGCAGATGTTAGATAAACATCTTCACTGCCCTACATTTGGAACTCAGAGGCTTTTATCTCAGGCCACTACCAATGTATCAGGTGAAGCGGTGACTAACATAAGATACCAATCACATACCCAAGTGTTCTTGGAGAACCTTTGCATGGGGAGGTAATTAATTTTCTGCTAATTATTATGAAAACTTGATCGTGTGATGTTTTTCATCCTTCTAATGATAAAAAATTACAAAACTTTATTAATAAGCTGAAGGATAAGAGAATGTAAAGAAGGATAAGATATCGATACTAACCAAGATTTGCAGGTTGACACACACAAGACTAATAATTACAATATTAGTCTAAACCAAAATCACATGGACAAGAAGATTGCAATAAAGAAGCAAAGTTATCAAGCAGTTTCAAGACTTTAAAAAAATTGAGAGTTGTAGATTCGGTCGGTGATACATATTCAAAAACAATAATAAGAATAAAGTTCAGAAAAAAAAAACAAAAAACAACAAAAAATAAGAAATACAAAGGAAAAAAAAAAAAAAAAAATAGCATCAAAGAATAATAATATGAATTGAAAAGAATCAATCTTATCAATTCAATCAGAAACATTGTTCAATCTAATAAGAAATAGCGTCAAATAAGCTAGAAAAAAAAAATCTTCAAAAAGCCCTAGAAATCCAACTAGAAGCTAGAGATATAATGGTTCTCCCCTAGTTCAAAACTCAATAGAAAGCAGATAGAATTGTAGGTTATGCTAGGAACCCTTGACAAAGAAACAAATAACTAAAACGAAGGAAATACAAAGCAAATAGAACAGAGACTCAGATAACAAATTGAGAGAGCGAAGTAGAATACAGAGCAAAGAGGGGACGCACCTACCGAGCCAGAATGAAGAGGCGATAGTGTAGCACAGCAACGGTAAATGGAGAAAACCCGACGATCGACAACTATCTACGCAGGTGTGCGATTGTGAGAGGGAGAGAACGTCCAATCGTGAGAGAATGGCTGTGCAGGGTGGAAATTGGGTAGGGGTGTACATGGTCCGGATTGGTTCGGCTTTGAGAAAATCCAAGAACCGAACCGATCCTAACGGTTCTGTGATTTTGAGAACCAGACCAGACCGTTACACTTGTAAAACCGGACCAGAACCAAACCGAAAAAACGGTTCGGTTTCGGTTTGGTTTACGGTTCCAAAAATTTCTATTTACAAGAATAAATTGTTAATAGTAGCAAAATAATTACTTAAACTAATTACATTTAACTCTTGATAAAAACTAATAATATTAAGGCATTACTTAATATTACATATCTATACCATCCTAATATCATTAAAATTATAAAAAACTGACATATTTAAAAGGGCAAATTACAAACACTCCTCTCGAGATTTGGTAAAAATACAGATTCTTCCTTGAGATTTGAGAAATTACAAATTGTCCCCTGAGGGTCAAATTTTCATAACAAATTAGGGGAAATTAGGAGGGAATCTGTATGAAAATAAAAACTCCATGGAACAATTTGTTATGAAAATATAAACCTCAGGGACGGGATGTAATTTCTCAAACTTCAGGGAGAAATCTGTATTTTCACCAAACTCAAGGGGGTGTTTGTAATTTGCCCTATTTAAAAAAAAAAAATCACAAAAACAATCCAACTGAAAAACAAAAACAAAAAAGTGTACTAAAATTTGCATAAAGATAAAAATAATCTTCTCATCAACATTAGTCTAGTTATGAACTGCGTGTTTGTTTTGAATTTTTTGAATTAAGTTGTTTGAAAATTAAGTTTTTTATTTTTCGTATTTTTTTTATTTTTAGTGAATATTTTTAAAATTTTAAGTATTTTTTTTTTAATTTTTTAGATGCACCTTACTTAGATGTATTTAAAAAGTAAAATATTTTAAAAAATTAATAAATATATAAAAATACAAAAAAATATACTAATTTTTTCTTGATATTTAGTGAATTTTTAAAAGATCTTTTTCACAAAAATTATACTTTTTAAGTGTCTTTATGTTAGGTGTGTCTAAAAATATATAAAAAAAATTGTTTAAAATATTAAAAAAATTATGTAAAAATAAAAAATAATACGAAAAACAATAAAGTAGAATTTTTAGAAAAATGAATTCTAAAAAACAAAACCAAACAAACTGTTTGATTTTTTAAATTTTCCATGAAACTAATTTTGAGTCTTTTAAAAGAAATCTGAAACAAGTTTTAGAAAATCAAAGCCATCTCAACTTTTGCTGACGAATAATTTTTTCGTCGCTAAATGTTTAATTCTTTGCCAAGGCCAACTTGTCATCGCCAAAAATAAACAGACTAATAGCAGCGCTTCTCATGTTGCCAAAAATTAACATTCGTCACTAAAATTTTCAAAATTTTGGCGCCAACCAAAAATTTAGGCCCCTATTGAATATTATACATTTTTAGCAACAATAGTAAATTGTATCGTTAAAAGTCTACTTTTACCGACGAAATTGATCACTGTGTCGCCAAAATGCTATGAAAAATTGGCATCGTCACCAAAAGTGATTGTTAAAAGTGCAATTTTTTGTAGTGATGTGTCTCAAGCATTTTTCAATTTATAAATGGCTTTCTATTAGGCTGTGTTTGGTTCATGAATTTTGGTAGGAAATTTTAAATAAAAAAATAGAAAAATAACCAAATCTTTGAACCAAACACAACATTAAGATTTATGCATATGGGTCAGGCTTTTTACTCAAGCTTTGGGCTTAAAAGCCCAGATTTTCAGGCTTTGAAAAAACACTTTCGTATGAAAAGCCCTGAAGCTAAAAGGTCTGACATTGGAAAATCTTGGGCTTTTCAGACATTTTCCTCTCTTCTCTCTTGCTTGTTGATTCATTCATCTTGCTCCTTGCATCAGTGGCCCACTACAGATTTTCGTGGTATAAACCCAATGCTTGCTTCCACATTTTCTTAATCTCTTTCAATTGGTTCACATATCTTTGGTTGATTTCAGTATTCTAATGACACTGTTGACCCCTTTCTTCTTCTTCCTTCATGATCGGACTAATTTTTTTAATTGTTACTACTTGAAAGTTTCAATCTTGTTGTCGTATATGATATTGGGTATTTTGAATTAATATAAAAAAAATCTATCTAAACTCACTAACTGTTTGATATTGGGTGTATATTTGTTTTGCAAAATGTACACTTCAAAACTCATTAGAAATCATGCTTGACATCAAAACTCATGTTTGAAGCTGCTTGGAATCATTATATATGATTTTACCTCAGGGTTGATCGCAGGGCTTTAGTAGGTTACTGAATACAACCATCAGGGCAACCTGTTCTGGACACTACGGATTTGGTTGTGGCTAAGCATAGTTAATTATGTATATTATAATCTGTTTGACTAAGGATAGCTTCATTCACTAAGCCATCAATTGGCATTTAATAACTAGTTGGATGATTTGTTTTTGACAAACATGACCGTCCACTTGCTTGAGAAAAGATTGGTTGGATAAATCCCAAGCCTAATATTCTACATTCATGTATGTGTATTGAAAATATATGAAATTTAGAAGAATATGATGCTTTTCCTAATGGGAAGTCATCTACTCTTTAGGTTGCCTTTTTTAATGTCAAAGTAGAACCCATAAAATATTAATTGGACTTAATTAGGTTGATCTTCTAGGGATAGGGAGTGCAGTGCTTGAAGCAGCTTGCTCAATTTTATGGGCTCTCCTCTAGAAGATGCAATCCGAGTGGGTTAAGAATTGTTGGTGGCTGAGACTGGTCACCAACTCTTCACAACCTTTGTTCTCATTGCAAAATATGAATTTGTTACCTACAACACCATTGAGGAAAGGCATGGGATAGCCTAGCAATGATCTTAAACGCCTGATGGAGCACTCATCTCTTGGAGAAGAGAGAGGAAGAAGATCTGTTTCATATCTATTGCTGATTTGCTGCTGAAATATGTTGGCAGGTACAATTTCTTGAAGCAAAATGTTAATACTATTAAACGGATGTGAGATAGTCACAGAATTGGAATGGCTGTAAATTGTTTATGGCTTGAACTCTGGAGTAGGAGCTCTCTTGGGTTAGGGCATGTTCATTTGGAGGCATATTGGTTTGGAAATTGTAGTTTGCATACTGATTCCCTTCCCCCGCTAACCAATTTATGATACATAACTGAAGTGGTGATGTAACTATGGCCTTGTCCAGTTTGTGTGTTAGTAGAACCGATAAAACTATAAGTTAATTGCTGGGTAGAGATTCAATTGATATTGAAAATTGTGTGCTTTCATGTGAATTTATCAAAGTCCCTTTGATGGCATTGTCTATGCTTTGAAATTGTGATTTATTTGCTAAGAAATTGATTTTTATTGAAATCCCTTTTCGAAGAGAATTCTTACTATTTAGTAATATTTTATTCTGTTTACAAAAAATTTGAAAACTATAAACAAAATGCTATTTGTGGTCTACTTTTGTTTTCAAAAAATTATAAACCATTTACAAAAAAATGATATTTATATTATTAGCTCTACACATGAAGATTATATGTTATTTATTCGCTATAAAATTATAGTATTGCCCCTCCTTAAATCATGTAAAGCTCCTTATATTTTAAAATTTAGAAAGTACTCTATTCTATTCTTTTGATCATTTCTATCCGCTCTTAACTAACAAATCAAGACAAGAATTGAATCAATTAATCATTTTTTTCGTATTATGGGATTTGTTCAGTTAGTTATTTCTCTCCATTGTAGAGCTCTTTTTTGAGTTGATAAGGTTAGATTTAGCTGTTTATTTGTTTCTATTATTGGGTTGGTTGTTGATTGTAGATTTTTAAATCATGTTAATATAAATCTCATGATAATTGTAATATTGTAATTTACTAATTGACAAAAAAAAAAAAAAGAATGTATAAACTTTAATGATAATATGTTTTCACTACAACAAAATGGTATTTTAATGACAAAATCACTTCGTCTCCAATAGTGAAATTTTCGTCACCAAATTGATCCGTGACGAAATAATTTCGTCACCACGTTCGTCATCAATTCGTTGTCACTAAAAGTACCTGATGACGAAAATTTATTTTGTCACCTATTATTGGTATTTGGTGACGAAATATTTCGTCACTAAATGTTAAATATTTTGTCACCTATAACGTCCATTTCGTCACTAAAATTAAATAAAATTTTATTATATTTGTTTTGAGTGACAAAATATTTCGTCATTAAAAATAGCGATAAAATATTTAGTGACAAAAATATCGTCACCAAAAGATAAAAAAAAGACCCTTCAGTGACGAAAACTTTTGTCAACAAATATTTTAATTTAGTGATGAAATAGTGAATATGTTTGACGAAATTATTTGTTGAGATTAGAAAGTTTTAGTATCAATTGTTTTTCGTCGCCAATAATAAATAAATTTTAAAAATTGAGAGGAGGGTTATATTTGCAATTTATATATTTTTTTCAATAAAAAATACCTGTACATTTTAATAATCTATTAAATAAAATATTTAATACAAATCAATATAAAATTAAACTATTCATTATCATAAAACAACTCAAGCAAAATACATGTCTCATAATATCAAGAAATTAATATATAACATCCAAACTATAACATCTATTCTAGTAAAATCAAAAACTTCAACACAATCAAAATAACTTGTGCATTTTAATAACCTGCTGAATATAATATCCATTACAAATCATTACAAAAACCTGTTCATTTGGTAATATCAACAAAAACCTGTTCATTTTAATCTATTCAATAAAATATCGACAAAAAAATAAGATCCATCACAATATAATCATAACCCACAACAACATAGTCAAAATACATGTTTGGTAATATCAACAAAAAGTACAACTACACTGTGATGGATGTGTCTGGTAATATCAACAAAAAACTCTTGCTATGCAGGTTACCAAATTCGTTCATCTCCAATCTGCCATTTAAAAAATAAAAAATAAAAAAAAAACAACAACAAAAGGTTAAGATAACCATTCACTAAATATGTTAATATGCAACCTAAAGGACTAAAGGAGAAAAAATAAAAATTTTGTTAACATACACAATTAGACGTAACAGCAACCAACTGTGATATATACATTTTTCAGCATAAGACAAGTCTTACTACAATGGGCACATCACATCGGACATAAAGTTTAAACTACTAAACCAAATTATTCTAAAATATGTATTATAAATGGGGCACTCATGTCACAATTCAGACACCTACTAGTTCATATTACTTATGCCTATCAAGCTTTGAAATATAATTAAACTAAACTGAAAATTTGGGTGTTGAAAATCATAACTACTCTAGCATTGCTAATTAAATAAGGCATGGCTCAACCGGTTGTATTAGAAGCAAACACCACTACCTTCCTTGTTTCTATTTTATTTTAATGAACAGTTTCCTACTGGAGTAAAAATGAAATGATTGTTCACAGCAATTACAAAAAGTTCTTCCTCATTGTTCAGATCTGAATACTAACTGATTCTAAACAAAGGCATAAAAAGAAGTAAGCATCATATGAATGGAAAGATGATAGGCAGTAGTATTCACAATTTATGGCCTTATCCAGTCACCATAAATAGGCATAACTTCGAGTATTTAGACAGCAAACTTGAGCCAATTTCCTAGAGGCTTATCCAGCTTGAGGATGCTTTTTTATATTCAAGTGATATACAGGAAATGTGAATCCTCTTGAAATTAACAATTAGCATAATTAATTTCACCAAAAAAATAAATTGTTGAAACTAATGCAGGTCAGTATCCAATATATTCAAGCTTACATTGAGATGAGCATTCTACATACGAAGCCTCAGTAAAAACAAACCCAAAAAGGAGGATTATGAAGAGGACATGGTTTTTTTGACCTGCATTAAAAGGATATCAATGTCACATCCACAAAGACAGCAAGACCCATTGTTGTACCAAATCCAAGACTAGTTTAATAAGAACGAAAAACACAGCAGTTTTTGTTGTCTGAAGTAGTTAAAAATGTAAAGAACTATAACCCGCATGTTGTCATTACCTATACAGTTTCCAAAAGTAGGACAATGATGGTCGAACCCCTTTACATATGCCTTGCAGTGCCTACAATATCTGACTCTCTGAAGTGGAATAGAATTCTGTGATAGCATAAATACTGAAGACTTCAGGATACATAAGATTTCAATGATAAAGAAGTAAATGCAGTGCTAAGATTTTGTGGCTAAACAGAAATTTAACATGGATAGAAAGCTGAGATATTTTCAATCAATAATGATTTGCTATGATGAAACGCAACAGAATTTAAGATAGTTCAACACATATTGCCACCAGATTACGTTTAAAGCCTTCGGCTTTTCACTATGGAATCTAGATTCCAAAAAATCAAAGACCAGAAATCCAGGATCATTGTAAGCTATGAAATATAGACCCGATAATTAAAGTTTCAGTTGATATTCATAGTTCCTTGCAATCACATCTGACCACCTAGTATGTATTAAATCAAGATAATATTTGAGAAGCAAAACATGAAACAAAACTAGCAAAGCTACCAAAGCCAATTTTGAAAACTAAAATTCAAGGGATAAATTAAATGTGATCGCAAAACTTAGTGGTATTTAATGCTGTAACCGATGAAATCACCGGAATCAGCTTACTTCTTCAGCAACAAACTCGTAGGGAATGTCACGAGTTGAAGGCACCAGTTCCTGCTCCAGAAGATAATTTCAATATTTGTGTTAATCATATGATTCATATCTAATTGGAGGGGCTTCTCAACATTTTTCAACCTTAGAATGGGCTTCAAATACTGAGACAGGACTCTCAACAAGCTGGTTATGATGGGAAGATTCATTTGTAACATAACCAGGGTCTGTTGTCAGGATACTGGCACTAAGAAACACACAGTTAGGACAATGAATAAATGATTGAAATTTCATTCTTTCAAACCTTAAATCTAAATTTTGTACGAACAAATCAATTCAATCAATTTTTGAGTGTAGAAACAATAATCTGAGCTGCATAGACCAATCACGAGCATAGAGAACTCTGCATTGAGTATAACGTCTAGCAAAGGTGAAATGGCTGAAAAAAAGATAATTTTTTTAAAGATGTCAGGATTCCATACAAGTCACAATTTGGAAAAAGTAGATACATATTGATGATGAGCAACCAATAATCCATCCCTATCCAACTAAAATTTGAGCATTCTCACATAATTTATTATCTGGTTGGAAAAAATATATTACTCACTCCTTTACATAGAAATGAACAAACAAACAGAAAACACTGAGAAATTTTTATATGTTAATAGGGTACACGTAGCACTACCTTTTATCAATCAATCACAAATGTATACACCTTCATTTTTCCTCAAACATCCAACATAAATGTAATGACCCTACTGTCAAATTCAAAATAGTAGAAGCTACACGTGGCATCTACACCCAAAAATTCCTTAAAAACACCATGTATATGATGAATAAATAAACCATCTCCAACTGTTGAAAAAACCCACCACTCGAATCCCATTGTATGCAGAACCCAGACTTTAAAATTCGTAGAATAATCAAACAGTAAATCATATTGAGGATACAAATTAGAGACTAGAGAGAGAGAGATTACTGAGAAGAAAGAGGGACCTTGTCGAACCAATCCAATATAAATGCCCCAAATGAATATAATATTGAAGAAAACGAAAGCCGACGCTGATTCTCCCACTCCTACAAGTCTCTTGCAGCATCTCCCAACATCTGTCACTCCCAACAGTGCTACAGCTGCAACAAAAGCAACCACTTCAACCACATATTCATATATATATATATATAGAGAGAGAGAGAGAGAGGACCTGAGAGTGAGAGGAGAGAGAGAGAGGAGAGAGAAGGAATGGAAGAAGGAAGGCAGCAAGAAGAGGGACAGTTGAGTTAGGGATGAAGAGACAAATGATATCAAACACCGACCAATCGAATTGGACGAAGCTACTCTTCAAATCATAGAGGCTCAGGAATTCTGAAATTTTCATTTATTTTTCTTTCTATACCAAACACAAATTTACAGAAATCGGAGTATCTACTTTTTCATTCAGAAATGAAATCCCTCATAACAGGAATTTTTTTGTATTCCTATTTAAACATTCATAACAAGCAGCCAAGTTAAACACTAACCCCAGATTAAAAAGCCCCAAATTTTGAAATTGAAAAACCCTAAGCCCTAATTTTCAAATTGAAAAGCCTCAAATCAAAACTCAAAACCCTAGTATCTAAACATGCACCTGAAATTGGACGGTGGGAGGGAGAGGTGCGAGAGCTCCGGTCGGAGGGAGAGGTGAGACGGCTCTGTTTGCTTCGTTCGCGGGTCTTCGTCGACCGGAGGGAGAAGCAAAGACGAACCAGGTTGCGAAGGAAGTAGCTCCGAAGGACTGCTCGAGCAACGCAATGGCCGTCACGAGTGAAGCAATGGCTGTTACTCCGAAGGACTGCTCTTCCCTCCGCCTCTCTTCATGGTCTCTTTTCCCTCCATCTCTTCTTCGTCTTCTCTCTCTCTCTCTCTCTCTCTCTCTCTCTCTCGATCACATCTCCGTTAGTCTTTCTCTATTTTTCCCTTTTTCTTTTTTTTGGGACCAGGAAGTAGAAATTTAGACAAAATTTTATAAGGAAATTTTAATTGTGGCAAAATTTTGAAGGGCTTTTTTCAAATATTGAGAAGAAATTTGAGACAAAATTTTATAGTAAAAATTGGTTTTAATTTATATTTTTTAAAGTTTTATTATTTATGTTTGTAATTTTACCTTTATTAAGGTTTAATTAATATTTTGAATGAAAATAAATAAATTTAAGAAATTTTATGATTTTAATCAGTAAATAATAATTCTATTAAAAAATAATTATTATTATGTTCTTAATAATTTATTATTTAATTATTAATATTTTTTTTTGAACTGATTATTAATAGTTATTTTAAATCGTAACAAATTTAATTAATATTATGAAACATTCACAACTACGTAGTTTTGATACAAAATATGGTATTTTCCTTTCTATGAACACAATTTATTAGTCACCAAAGGTTTTGAGATCCCGTTTTTTTTTTCCCCTCTCCCGCTATTACTTTCCATGATCATAATTTTTTTTTTGGTCCCAATTTTTTTTTGGTCCCAAAAAATTACCTATTAGCTACCAAAATGTCGTTGGTCGCAAAAAACAGAACTCATTAGTGACCAAAAAAATGTTAGTCGCAAAAAGTCAACTATCTGCGACCAACTCAAAAATGGTGGTCGCCAAAAGTGTTTTTTCTTGTAGTGAAATTAGGATAAAAAATGTGTTACGAAAGTGAGACGAAAAGGAGGATAGCAAGATAGAGAATAGGGGTGACGGAGGTTGGAAAAGCGAGAAGAGGGGTGACGGAGCTTAGAAAAGCGAGAAAAGGGTAGGGCGAGAGAGAGTGAGGCGAAAATAGGAAATGAGAGGGAGAGAGAGAGAGACAGATACCTGTTGTAGCGAGCGCCAGCCGGCGACGTGCGGGTTAGCCGGTACGACATAGATGGACGGACGGTGTGACGGAGATGAATGGGTGAGGGGGTGACAAAGAGAGATATAGAAAGTAAAATACATGCATCTAAACAGAGAGATATCTATCTCTTGGTTCAATTTTATTTTTTATTGATTTTAAGCATTTGGTGACGAAATTTGGTTTTCCTCTCTAAAAATAATACATTTGGAGATGAAATTATTTCCTCTCTAAAATTGTTTTGCAATGGTGACGAAAAATTTCGTCTCCAAAATGGCGCCAAATCTTCCGCCAAATTTTTCCTAGGTGAGAAACTGTTTTGTGACGAAAAATAAAATTTAGAGACGAATAAATTTTTTCTCATCAATTGTTTTATTTGATTTTAAGCATTTGGTGACGAAATTTGGTTTTCGTCTCTAAAAATAGTACAATTGGAGATGAAATCTTATTTTCATCACTAAAACATGTATATTTGGAGACGAAATATTTTTTCGTCATGCGTTTTCGTCACTATAGACCTTTTTTGTTGTAGTGTTTTGTTTGTTTTGGAAGAAAAAAAATCAGTGTTGTGATTAATGTATGCCTCTTCTAGTAGGCCTGACTTGGCCCATTGATGACCCCTACTATGGGGCATCGAGCCTTATTGTAAATTTTATTTTTGAAGAAATGTTAGAAATTTATAAATTCATCTATAATGATGTGGTAATAAAGTGGGGTTTATATAATTGAGTGTATGATAAATTAAAAATTAATATTTATTATACCAAATCATTATGGGTCAAATTAACAAAATTTTTTAGGTTTCTCAAACAATTTTTTTTGGGAGACATAGCTAGATTTTGATCATTTGGGGGTGGAGAAAGAAGACATTAGGGGAAATTCTAATAGGAAATCTTGTTAAATTTTAATTAAATATTAAGTATAATGGTAATATAAAGTGCTGCCATCTCTAACCACTAAGTTTTTTATGATGGTTGAGTCGATGAAATTTTTCGTTCCTATTTTTTTATTTTTTTAAGAAAATCATAAAAAGAAGTCTTCCAATCTTTATTAAAGGGATAAATTATAAATACACCCTCTGAGATTTACTTAAAATACGAATTGCCCCCTGTGATTTGAAAAATTACAAATACCTCCCTGTCAAAATTTTTTATTTAACAAAATTAAATGAAAAATTGAAATTTCTAACTGTTCACCTATACAATAATAAAATTATCTGAATTATTAATTGAAATAAAATTTTAACATTATTAAAACTGTTAATTAACTTGATGATTTATTAATAAAAGGACCTATTTGTTATGAAATTAGAAACCTTGGGGGGCATAATGTAATTTCTAAAACCACAGGAAGTAATTTGTAATTTAAGTAAATTTCAGGGGTGTGTTTGTAATTTACCCTTATAAAAGTGAATGCTGAAATTAAAAATATATTTTAAAACATACATATTAGGAAATTGTTATGATGTGCATCTTAAAAAGGTGTATCATAATGTTTTATAACAACTATTCTAATTGTTATAGTTATACTATGTCCATAACATAACTATAATATTTATAACAAACTATAATGATTCGCAATTATAAATTTACCATTTATAACTTCAGTTCAAAACTACAGAATATATCACAACATTTATAATTTTTATTACAAAAATTAATAACTTTACAAGATAACTTTCTCTTATATGTTATCATTATTTTTGTATTATTTGCATTAGAAAAGCCAACTTTTTGGCTTTTTGGAGTCAAATCACTTCTCTACTTTTTTACATATTTTTTCAAAAAAAGTTAAAAAAATCAACTTTTAACCAACTTCTTAAAACAACTTTACATGATGGTGAGAAGCCATGAAAAAAAAAATTCCTCTTTTGCAGCGCTACATCCGTACATATAATCTATATATTATATAAGGAAAATGGAGTTTCTAACTCACAAGTCTTGTGGGAGCTCCAATATCTCAATCTTAATTTCTTAATTTTTTGATTAAAAAAAAAACAGCATTTATTGACTTCTCCCAAGCCTTTTTGACTTCTCCTATACACACCCTTTTCAACTTTTCTCATACCTAGTTAATTATTTTGGAAATAATAATTATCCATTAATTTATGGATTTTGAATGGAAAGATAAAAAAAATATTTCATAATCTCTCCATTCTAATTTCTCCCATCGATTTCCAAAAGAAAATATTAAAACTTGTCTTCCTTTTCTCTATAGCGATTCCGGTTTTGACCTAACTTTTATTGTATTTCGGACTCGAGTTTCGTGGTTTAGTGTTGTTGTCCATCTCTTTTCCCCTTGT